CTAGTGATGTTGATAAAACCAACACCACTAGCATGCCCGGGGGGGCTCCATCTATTGGTGGGGAGCAACACCTGCTGGAAATCGGGTCCAGCGTCCCTTGACAATTATGAAATCATATCATCGCGCCACTTGTCTACGCTACAACAAACATGTACAACCAAGCAGTCAGCACCCAGCGCTATTTATCCTGATAAGCAGTTTTTATATTACTGAGGGTATATGCTTGCTCATCGTTATAAGAAGAAAAATCCCCCTCCGAAACCCTTGCGATTTTACAATAACAGGGAGGGGCTTCTCGGAGCGAGAGGTTATAGGAGGTTATATCATCAGCAGTCAGCACCCAGCGCTATTTATCCTGATAAGCAGTTTTGATATTACTGAGGGTATATGCTTGCTCATCGTTATAAGAAGAAAAATCCCCCTCCGAAACCCTTACGATTTTACAATAACAGGGAGGGGCTTCCCGGAGCGAGAGGTTATAGGAGGTTATATCATCTACTAGATTCTGAACACAACGCGTGGCTGATACACAGCACATCCACGTTGCGTGCCGCGTGTCGGATCAAAAGCCAAACACAACGGACCACCCAACTCATGACACAGATTTTCGTGAGAGACAGCCTCGATTACCAGAAAGAAAGAAAGAAAAGAAAGGAAAGAAAGAGAGAAAGAAAGAAAGAAAGAAAGAAAGAAAGAAAGAAAGAAAGAGAGAAAGAAAGAAAGAAAGAAAGAAAGAAAGAAAGAAAGAAAGAAAGAGAGAAAGAAAAGAAAGAGAGAAAGAAAGAAAGAAAGAGAGAGAAAGAAAGAAAGAGAGAAAGAAAGAGAAAGAAAGAAAGAAAGAAAAGAAAGAAAAGAAAGAAAAGAAAGAGAGAAAGAGAGAAAGAAAGAGAGAAAGAAAGAAAGAAAGAAAGAAAGAAAGAAAGAGAGAAAGAAAGAGAGAAAGAAAGAAAGAGAGAAAGAAAGAAAGAGAAAGAAAGAAAGAAAGAAAGAAAGAAAGAAAGAAAGAAAGAAAGAAAGAAAATTTTAAGAGACTGACCTGACAAGGAATGCCACCGATTTTGGCGATTGGAAAGGAGTCTGTGGTTCCAAAATTCTGACCACGGATTATTACCACCTGCAAGGGGACAGAGAACATAAAAAAAAAAAAAGAAAGACAAGTTTTCACTTGATGTGGCAGAAAGACAAGTTTTCATTCGATGTGGCAGAAAGACAAGTTTTCATTTGATGTGGCAGTAAACAGCAGAAAACTTTCGGCTTTTCAACTCCCGGGGGCCAGCCAAGTCCCACTAGCAGCGTTGAGTTTTCTTGACTCCAGAATCTGGACGTGTTTGTGGAGATGTACAGGAAATGATGTCAACTTTCCTCAACCGCACATGTCCACAAGCACGTCCAGATTCGGGCATTGAGGAAACTCGCCCCCGATTTATGTGCATCATCCTTGCGCAGGACGTCGCCATACTAATCCTCCTCCTCTGTATCATTCCAACAATGTTAACCCCTTCTGTAAATGAAAACTGGAGTGGCTATGTGCGGTTGAGGAAAAAAAAGCAACACCAAACGACAAATGTGGGTCATGGAAGGTGACATAACTAAGAGGCTCGCCACACAGGCTGTCGAAAACCAGGTTTTTGACAATTTTGAATCGCCACACAGACTTTCAAAGAATTGGGGCTCAAAAAAACTTTCGACAGGTGTCAGAATGGTACTTTCGACAGCCGCCCTCCAGCAATCGTTTCCTCCCGCCTGCAGGTGACGTAAATTCGACAGTGCCCCGCCGACCTTTCGAAAATTGCGCTCGATTTTGTGTTGTGAGGGACTGTTCCGCGACGCCCGTCCGCCTGGCCATGACCAAAAACCTTGCCCCTCGACAGCCTGTGTGGCGAAGGGGGGGCAAACTGTCGACCACCGACGTCCGATTTTTTTCTGACACCTGTCGAAACTCTTTGAGTTTCGACAGCCTGTGTGGCGAGCCTCTAACTGTTTTGAATTTGCCGCGCATCAAGCATGTGGTGCAAAGCGCAGGTGCATGCATGCGCACGCACGTGGTGCGCCGCACCCCGTAAAAATAGCGGTGGAATAAAAAATTCAGGAGGGGTGGGGTGTGGTGCCATACCCCACCCCTTCCCCCCTAAAAATGATACCGCACCAAAAAAAATAAAAAAATTGGGGCTGTGCACTACAGCTGGGCCCGGAAAAAAAATGAGTGTGTGTGACAGTGTGAGTGTGGTGTGTCCCCTCGTTGGCGATGGATTCAAGCTATATTTGAGGTCCTGTACAGTCCCGACGACGGTGCGCTCTGCTTTTTCTACAGCAGATACTTGCTTACAATTTCTCTTTAAAAAAAAAGAAGCAAAAAGAGCACTTAGCGCATTTGGTTGGTTGTCTGCTTGCCAAGCGGAAGGCCACATAGATCATTCGTTTTTACCTTTTTTACTTTTGGCTGTTGGTTTATTTGGTGTCCCCTTTATGGACCGGTGACAAGTCTGGCTTACACGGTGTGGGACATTTGTTATAATGACCCTGAAAAAACCCTCCTGAAAATTTAGGGCTCTCTTAACCGCTTCTCAGAAGATTGCGAGTTCAGTGCCCAAGTTCACTTCAGTGGAATTGGTGCATGACTCTTCATCATAATCCAAATTTATTACTTAAAACTTGAAAGGGAAAGGAACGAAAAGTTTGGGGTCTTCGTAGGGTTCATGCCTGAGGCCCACTGATTAGGTGATGTGTCCAAAACCCACTGCTGTCACTTTCATTGGAAGGAACTTCAAGGAAGTAAGGCGGTGTCAATGTGCCCAATACACGCAGCCACACTTACACAGTCTGCGCGCAGCGGAGTGCCATTGTAAAGCAGATAGAACTGCTCATCACCTTCATGCAGACATAGCTCACCAGCGTACTCAACAACAGCAGTGAGATGGAGAACGAAAAGAGAAAACAAGGCCAGAAAAGGGGGGGGGGAGAGAGAGAGAGAGAGAGAGAGAGAGAGAGAGAGAGAGAGAGAGAGAGAGAGAGAGAGAGAGAGAGAGAGAGAATGACCAGACGATTCACCAATGCACTCGACAACAGCAGAGAGATGGAGAATGAAAAGAGAAAACCAGGGGAGGAAAGCAGAGCATGAGAGAGAGAGAGAATGACCAAGCGATTCACTAATGCACTCGACAACAGCAGAGAGATGGAGAATGAAAAGAGAAAACCAGGTGAGGAAAGCAGAACATGAGAGAGAGAGAGAGAGAGAGAGAAACACTTGCAAATGTAGACAAAACGTGCGAGGTTTAACTTTCGCAGCATACACGTAATGACCATGGCATGCGACCAAGTCGCGATAACCCCTCTACCTCACTGCTCAGGTAATCCTTCCAGCCACTATCCTCAGTATATATACCTTTCGTTCCCAGTACTTCCCTGCCACTTTCCCTATCCTTGCAGTGTACTCATCATCCATCCTCAGGATCTCTCCCAGTCGTTCTCTTTGTTGCCTCTGTCGCCGTCGATTTCCAACATGCTTTCAATCTGGAGTTGTTTTCATCATATCTAATGATATTGTGCATGTTACTCTCGTATTCTATTATCTGTCGGAGGTCGGTCTCACTCGGGTACTCGCTTATAACTCCGTTGTTTTGTGATACCGAGTTGTTTCTGGCCGTCATTTGTTGCTCTGTTCTTCCTTCACGTCCAGCTAAGTACGTTCCTTCCTTGGTCGATTTCTCCGATTTTGCTCAAAAAGTGGCGGTGTATATTTCCACGTTCCAGCGGAAGATTCATTCCGCTTTTGCTCATCCTATATGCAATGTGTCTGTGTGAGAGTTATGGTCTCTCTCTCTCTCTCTCTCTCTCTCTCT